ACGCGCTAAAGTTGAGTGTTAAGATATTAGATTTATTATGCGAAGATGATCTGATAACATTTTTTTATTCATGTAGCTAATTATAGTTTTATGTTTCTAACCTTTAATTTTATTCAAATATCAATAATAATAGAAAAAAAACACCATTGAGCTGAATTTTGGATAGTTTTCAAAAAATCTATGCTTCCCGCGTTTGACATTAGCGGTCAACCATAGACGACTTTGGCGTGCTGGACTTTGATAAAAATCAATTTTTATTAGTTCAATGTTACTTAGTACTTGTGGCTCTAGAAGACTTGTTTTTTTATACTCACATGTTGCTGGGTTATTCCTATTTTGAGGAGTGTAGAATTAAAATACCTGTAATAATTTTCCAATATATATATTTCATTTTTTGAGAGCCGGGTTTTTTTGTCAACTATAGACGTCGTTGGCGCTCAGGGCCCGCAGGTGTTGGTCAAGTATAGGCGACTTTGGCGCTCAAAAGATTAAAGGATTCATGGTAAATCAGCTGGAAACTAACTTGTTTCGTTATCATAACATGATTCTATTTTAAATGTATTGTTATAAACAAATAAGAATAACTTAACAGATCTTCTTTGAAAACAGATAAGAATAACAGTTCTTATCTGTTTTCAAAGAAGATCGGTTAAGATTAACAGTAAAATTGTGCCGTAGCGTTTTGTTACTCTCTAAAGAATTCATGGGAAATCAACTAGTAATTCGCTTGTTTAATTATCATAACATAATAATTATTTAAAAATTATATTAGTACTATAATGATGACACCGTAAATAATCGATCGAAAAAGAGAATCGATTTTTTTAAATGTGTTTTGTGATTGGCAACACTTTTTTTTATTCACAAACTAATGACATAATGATCTACCTAATTTTTATTATTATCTTTTCGGTATATTCTTATTATTAGGTTCGGGGATAAGTCGCTCGCGTCCGTAGGCTCTGACCACCTATTCCTAGGCCCACCCTACACGTGTCCCCCGGGTGGTGCTAAATGAGCGACAAGCCGATAGCACAGACTCGGCTCCACGCCCTGGTAGAGGCGTAAAATATACCACCCTTTATCCGCACCATGAGGAACAATATAATAGAAATGGCCCCGAGTTCCCGGCGCCCCTTTAATGGGGCAGGGGTGCGAAGAATCTCCGGGAGGAAAACCGGCGACGAGGTTCGCCACCCGTCACGTTCTGTCTCCCGGAGAGGCGAAAAGTGGATTGCAGAGGTCCGTCTGGCTACGTTGAATGTATGTGGGGCAATGAATGATAAAATGGATGAAGTATGCGATATGATGAATGATAGAGGAATAGATGTGTTATGTGTAAATGAGACGAAAAGGAAGGGAAAGGATGTCACTACACATGGCATGTATACCGCATACTGGTCTGGTGTAGACGAGATCGAGCGGGCATGCCAGGGAGTAGGTATCATCCTTTCAGAAAGAATGGGCCAATGTGTGAAAGAGTATGAATGTGTAAGCCCAAGACTGCTGTGGATACGAATGAAAGTGGGCTTAAAGAAGTTGTTTGTGTTAGGGGTCTACGCCCCAGACATGTCTAAGCCCACTTATATCCGAGAGCAGTTTTGGGAAATGGTAAGGATGGTGTTAATGGAGTGTAAGGGAAATGAAAATATTATTATGCTAGGAGATTTTAATGGAAGGGTTGGGGTGAGGAGGCTTGGTTATGAAAGGATATTGGGAACGTTTGGTGATGAAAGTATAAATGAGAATGGTGAAAGTCTCCTCACCGTATGTATGGAAAAGAATCTTTTTGTGACGAACACTTGCTTTCGCCACAAGAGGATTCACATGTATACTTGGGAAAGAGGTGACGATAGAAGCATGATAGATTTAATAATTGTGGATGAAAGATTGAGGGGCGCAGTTGTAGATACAAGGGTTTACCGGGGTTCTAACGTAGGAACGGATCATTATTTGGTTCTATGCCGAATTAATGGTCTATTCAGGCGTTGGCGCCATCGGTCATCTGTGTCTACCACTGCGTTACAGCGTATTAGAACAGAAAGGTTACAAGATGAAGGTGAGAAAAAAGAAGTTCAAATGTAGACTGAAAGAAAATATAAGTGGTTTGGATGAATTATGTATGAAGGAGTTAGACTTGGAGAATGTATGGCAAAATGTAAAGAAAGGTTTAGTGGATGCAGCTACCGAAGTATGTGGTGTTAGTAAGAGAAAGAATGAAAGGAAAAATAATACGTTATGGTGGGATGATGAGGTACGTATGGAAGTTGAAGCAAAGAAGAGAGCATGGCTAGATTTACTAGCAACAAAGGCTGGTAATTCTAGCGGTACGAATGATGATATTGAAAGAAAAAAGGCAGTCTTTAGACATCTTAATAAGAGAGTAAAAGAAGTAGTTGAAAGAAAAAAGCAAGAAAGAACGGATAAGAATGATAGAAGAATATCGGATAATTTCCAGGCAAATATTAAAATGTTCTGGAAACTTGTAAGAACTGCCAGGGGACATTCAAAACAGCCTATGATGAATGCTATAAGAGACGAGAATGGCTATATTCTGAATGATGAAGTTTTGAGTTTAAAGAGATGGAAGGAATATTTTGAAAGCGTGTTTATGAGTGAGGAGACAACGTGTGTACTAAGTGAAGTAGAAATTCCGAAGGAAGAGGAAAGAGGTAGCGAGATTAGTGTAGGTGAAATAATGAAAGCAATGAAAAGCATGAAAGCAGGTAAGGCTGCCGGATATGATAGAGTTTCACTCGAAATGCTAAGGGCTGGAGAGGAAGTGGTGGCAGGCCTGCTGCACACCTTGTTTAATTTATGCTGGGAACTGAAGCGGGTACCGGTAGACTGGTGCAAAGCCGTGATAGTCCCAGTATATAAGGAAAAGGGTCGCAGCAGGACTGTAAAAACTACCGTGGCATCAGCCTTCTTAGCATTGTGGGAAAACTGTATGCTAAGGTACTGATTGAAAGGGTCATGAAAGAAACTGATGGAAAAATTTGGGATGTGCAAGCAGGATTTAGAAAGGGAATGGGATGTACAGATCAAGTCTTTTCCATGCGCATGATCGCGGAGAAGTTTTTTGGCCAAAAACCAAAAGGTTTTTTGTGCGTTCATGGACTTGGAAAAGGCCTATGACAGAGTGAATAGGGATGTGCTATGGCAAACACTGAACTCATTTGGGTTGAGCGCTGGCTTGATACGGGCATTGGAGTCCCTTTATAGGGACTCTAGTGCTTGTGTTAGGATCAACGGGGTCTACTCGGACTGGTTTGACATCCATAAAGGTGTCAGACAGGGCTGTGTAGCTTCCCCGTGGCTGTTCAACCTATTTATGGACAGTTGTTTGCAAAATTTGAAAGTTGAAGAATGCGGATTAAGAATGGGTGAGTTAACCGTCAAATGCCTTTTGTACGCCGATGATCAAGTTATACTTGCGTCGTCGGCGGCCGAGTTGCAAATGATGGTTACATTAATGAACAGATCATTAAAAGAAAGGGGTATGAAAGTGAACGCAAGTAAGACGAAGGTTATGGTTTTTGAAAGAGAAGAAAGTAAAACGATTTGTGAAATAAGAATAGAAGGGGAGTTGATCGAGCAAGTAGACGAGTTTGTATATTTGGGCTGCGTATTTAGCAGGGATGGGAGATATGATAAGGATATAGAACGACGAGTGAATGCGGGAAATAGAGTAAATGGGGCCCTGCACTCTATTGTGAAGAGTCAAAATGTGTCGAAAAAGGCACGTATGGCAATTCACAATGCTGTGTTGGTCCCTACTTTAACATATGGTAGTGAAAGTTGGGTGTGGCAGAAGAAGCACGAGAGTAGAATGAACGCAGTAGAAATGCGGTCGTTAAGGAGTATGTTAGGGCTGAATCTTAATGACAGGGTAAGAAATTGTGTAATAAGAGAAGAGTGTGGTTTGCAAGATGATGTTGTGACCAGGATTAAGAAAGGAATGCTTCGGTGGTTTGGTCATGTGGAAAGAATGAATGAGGAAAGAGTGACAAAGAAAATTTATGTTGCAGAAGTGAATGGCAGAGTCGGAAAGGGACGTCCTAGGCGAAAATTTATCGACCAAATTGGCGATTTATTGAAAACGGGCCAAATTAGGAGTACCCTTAACCGACGAGCATGTATGCGGAGGTGTATGGATGTGAAGGAGGCGAGAGAGGTGTGTCAGGATCGTGCCAAATGGAAGTCTGTAGTCTCTACCTACCCCTCTGGGTGACAGGCGTGAGTGTTTATGTTATTTTATGTTATGTTCTTTTCGGTACTTTTAATTTGTGCAAAAATATTCCCATTGTTTGAGGATAAATAAATACCGCGATTAATAACCATAAATAAAGATATAATTTTTTAACAAATGCACATTGTTGGGCGTTCCATGGCCGAAAATGGGCGTCCCCCTTTACACTTTTATTACTGAACACCAATTAAAACTTAAATCACACTAATAATTAATCACACTCCACACTTTAGTTCACTTTATTTCGCTCCGAAAGCTTCGCTCATATTGCCAATTCAATACTGCTCCGGTCGCGGTCCGCAATGGCTTTAAATAGGCCTTTTCCACCGAAACATCCAGAATATTCCAGTAAATACCGGCCCCCGTGCGACAAGGTGCAGAAAGTTCGAGTGTGGAATTTTCCAGAAAGCTTAGTTCTTCTATTCGATACTAGATAGCGCTGGAGGTGGAGAGTTCCAGCATGGCATGTTCTAGAAAGCTCTCCTCGCTCTGTTCCTCGACACTAGATGGCGCTATGCCAGGTACCAGACATCAAATTAGGCGCGCAACAATACTAATTTTTGGACGAACTATGGTCAAACTACTCAGTTCCCCCTGTGACCGTGGGTGCTGTAAAGCACCCGCAATCGGGAATTAAAAATAAGTTAAAATAGTTAATTAAAGGCGATAAAATCCGTAAATATAGTTTTATACAATGTGTAGTGTTCGCGTAAATTTAAGAAATCAAAAGCTGTTTTTGTTCGTACAGGTAATGAACCATGTCGAATAGTTGGTGTTGTGGGCATTGGCCATGTGGCCGGCATCGTGGAACATTGGGGCAAGGTCACACCGCAGGATATAACTCCCTTACTTGTGTGAGTATTTAAAATTATTAATTACTAGCTGTTACGTTGCTGCCGCAGAAGAAATAATTGTAGAAATATTGTTTTAAAATTGGAATAGTTATTTAATTACGAATTATCTGTGGGCACGGCAGTGCCCCCGCCAAGTCGACAAAAAAGCGGCACGGCCGTACCATCCTTTTCTCGAAGCAGTTTGGGCTAATTTCAACCTAACCTAAGGCTATTTATAACTTCGTTGTGGATAAAACTAGAAGCCTGAGTTTTAAGTAACCAAGCAGGCATTGTATAAACACAGTATATTTAAAATTTCATTCAATTTGAACCAGAAGTTTAAGAATTATAACTAGTCAAAGTTTCTTAATTTTTTTCACTCCCTGACTTACAGATCATCAAAACTCTAAGGCACTTCTAGCAGACATAAAAGCTTCAAATTTAGAATACAATTAGTCTTTCGTGTATAAATCAATGAAAAAGTAAAATATTTTGCAATATCGGTCCAGTTTTCTAGATACACCAACTGCATAAATAACTTTTGTAATCCCATATAAATATATAGGATTATAAAGTTACATTTGGAGTGAATGAATCGTGTACCTTTATATGTATAATATAATGAAATGATAGGTGTAGATAGGTACGTTTTTGGTATTCAAGAAGTGGAAGTTACCGAAAAGGAAAAAAAACTAGGAATATCTACAAAGAGAAATGAGATGCCATCAAAACATAACATGTAAAAAACGAAATTTCGCAACTCAGTTCTTCTACCGTAAAAAGTTGTGAGATCCATGTAATACCAAGTCGGTTAATTTATTCAGTTCCTATTTAAGGATCCTTATGTCTTAAGCCTAACAACATCTTATTGTGACCATATCAATATTAAAAATCTTTTATGTTTTAAATAAATAGATTGACTCGGCAATCTCACTAACCAATCTAATTTAATATAAAATGTATTACTTGTAAGATAAGAGAAGAGAGAGAAGAAGACATTGTTTTCATGCGATAGCATTTCATGGATTTCCATCAGCCGAAATACTAAAAATCGTCTATGAAGATGAAAGCTTGCAGCTGAAGTAAAAGCATGTACCCATATACCCCACCTCGCGCCTCTCTCTTCATTTCACTTTTTCCCTATCTCTGACTCTCTCGTGCTATCTTTGTCTCTCGTGCTATTCCTATCCATTCAAAGTCACATTTTATGGTTATTGAGAAAATAAGTTCATAAAAAAATGACTTCTAGCAGTCAGATTATTAATATCCCTCAAAATTATCGTCAAATTTTAAGCTACCGTAACTGGGACCTTAATCTGAACCTTCTGTATAATTGTCTGACACGCTTGAGTATTTCAATATGGCGATATTTTTCACATTTTCAAAATTTCGCTACGAACTTGTATCTCTTCGAATCGTCAGTCTTTTGAATGGGTGTATTTTTAAGATTCACTTAATATCCCCTTTGAAGATCTGACGTGCTGGAATTAATTTTTGAACATCTGTAGTAGTTGGTTGTAGTTTTTACATTTTTGAAAATCTGTAGACGCTTCACCCACCACGGGAAGGGGACACATTATATTATAACCTTTTTCTTTCTATCAACTAATCTACAAAATCTAATAGGTCCCCACCACGCTCGAGTAAATCCCCATTTAGTATCATGGGCTCCCCTACTACAACATCTATTCTTGATTAACAATCAAAATGCAGATGCACTGTCAACCCTGAGGAGTATGATGGAATGCCTCGTTTATAGTAAAAAAAGTCTTCGGTTCTCTACACTCACAATTTTTTATAGAATAATGGTGACAAACGAACACACTCTCCAACTGATAATAAGTAGATACTGTGGCCCATAGATGACATCTATCCTCGGTTAAGAAATGCAGATGTATTGTCACCTCTGACGACTAAGATGGAATGGGTCATTTCTAATTAAAAGCGTTTCTGGTTTTTGCACTCACCATATGAAACACAACAGCATTAAGCTGCTACTTTACGCTAGTATTCTATGAGAACATGGTTCTTTCCTTGATTAAAACTACTTTTACGACCCTTTTCCCGACGTTTCGACTGCTTTCCAGCACCCATAGTCACGGGGGACTGAGGTGACTGACGTCTCAATGTCATTGTTAAACTCGGAGTACCTTCAGCTTTTTTAGTTATTGTTTATGGTCAGATCTAGATGCAAAATGAACTGATTATGTCCTGAGGTCTGCAGTGGTATGCTTGGGTTTAGTTTTAATTTTATTGATTATAGGGTCCCAAGCAGGTGGTAGTACCTAGCCTCCTTCTCTATTGAAATTAGGATGTTTTTTAATTTCAATAGCCTCACGTAACGTCCTTGGTAGGAATCGGTGTTCTTTCGCGAGGATTTGTGGTCTATCAAATCTGATGTAATGGTTGGGGCCGTCTAGGATATGTATGATATGACAAACTGCAGACTTCCCGGAACGTCGGGAATTAAAAATAAAAATAATTAAAAGTAAAAATTAAACGCGATAAAATTCGTAAAAGTAGTTTTAATCAATGTATAGTGTTCGCGTAAATATAAGAAATCATTATGGTTCTTTCCTGTTCGAGTCGACCCATTAGCGCTACAACCATGTTATAGCTCTACCATGGATTTTTTTTAAATTCAAAGTGGTCACTCCAGTTAATACGGAATCTTCATACTTTGACCTTATTTACTTAAACTAAAGGTCTAATGATGACGGTTATTTTGCAATAACTGTTCTGCTTTATAATTTTCCAACACACCGTTAACGAATATTTGTGCAGTATCCCCCCTCCATCGCTATCCACGCGCATTATCCGCGTGTCGGTGCGAGTGGCGTGCGCAGGCGCAGTCGTGTACGCGGCTTATAAGTTCTTCCCGCGTCGTTGGCTGCCCTGATGACTGATGCTTTCTTTCACAAACTGGTACGTATGAGGTTATTTTTTATACTTGTTATAAGCTACTAAAAAGTATGGTTAAGATACATTCTATATACAACATGTCCCAAAATTCAACGATAAGCCAATACCGGAGGATAGACCTGCCCCGGACTAATCGGGGGAAAAAAGAAAAAAAATATCCCAATTATATTTTAAGTTATATAAAAAAATGAAATTCTTCAGAAATTGAGACCGTTTATGATATTTTTCACTACGATGACCACAATTTTTTTAATATTTGTTTCTTTTTTTATAGGCAACCTGAATAGCACTGCTATCTACCACAATTCTTAAAAAATCCAGAATAACTCTTGTTTTATCACGAAAATAATGAAATTTATTTTATTCCCTAAATTTTTTGAAGACTTTTACTTTTAACCAAATTTAACTTTCGTGGTGTAAAAAAAAGTATGAACACTAGTATGGCAAGTTTTTTTAAAAATTGACGCAACTAACCAACATTCCAAAATGGTATAATACTCTAGGAAAACAAGTTATAAAAAATATGGGCCTATTATTTCTAAACAGGGGCCAAATTCCTTAAATTGTAATTGTCAGTAATCACTTTTACTACATGCCCAAAATGGGTTCTTGTTACAATTTCTAGGAATTTGAATGGGCATACTAATCTTAGATGTTAGAGAGAGATAGATAGAGATATTTACGTTAAAAAGAGACAACAACAGGGCAGGTAGAGAAGTTGTTATTATTCTCAGCAAGTCAGTTCAGTACGCTCTGCTCCTTTGTTTACTGCGCACCGTTCCCAATTCAACTTACGTGGCTCTAGTACATACTACCGCTTTTTGGCTTGGCTTTTTGGACTGGAATCGACCTGCAAACTTAACTGACCTGGCATTATTTGGACTGGAAGTGATCTGCAAACTGAACTGACCTGGCATTATCTTGGACTACGATTGTGTGTTTTGTGATTTAGAGTTCTGGCGCATTTTGGACTGTTTGGCGTTTAACATGCCGCAACCGTACACACCACAGGAATACGCTAATATGCATTTAATCTATCGAGAATGCCGACGTAATGCTAACGCTGCTAGCAGACTGTATCGAAAAAGATACCCAAATGCTCAAAGATATCCTGATTATCGAGAGTTAATGTGCATCAAGCGTTTTCGGAGGGTCGTATGCCATCCAATAGGAGAAGTGCTGGAAGACCTAGATTGGATCGTGATGAAGAAGTTCTCAATGAGATAGAAAATGATTCGACTACTTCGGTACGTGCCATAGAAGAAGCTACAGGAATCCCGAAAAGTTCTGCACATCGCATATTAAAACGTCACAAGCTTCACCCATATCACTACAGGCGTGTGCAGACGTTATTACCGCGGGACTATCCGCTACGAGTCACATTTTGCCGTGTGATGCTGCAAAGGCACAGTGAAGATCCCCAATTCCTAGACAAAATTCTGTGGTCGGATGAAACAACATGCAAGAAAGATGGGTATTTAAATCTTCACAACCTACATAGTTGGAGTAATGAAAATCCGCACTTGATGAGACAAGACAAATCCCAATATCAATTTAAGGTTAACCTATGGACCTTAGAGAAGGAAGCTTAGATGGCAATAGTTATTTAAACTTTTTACAAAATGACTTGCAAGAATTGTTAGACGACGACGAATTGTTAGACACCTTAAGTGATCTCCAAAACATGTGGTTCCAAAATGATGGTTGCCCAGCACATTATGCCCGTCCTGTGCGAGAATATTTAAATCAAGAGTATCCAGGGCGTTGGACCGGGCGATTTGGTCCTATCTTATGGCCACCCCGTTCACCCGATTTGAACCCCCTGGACTTCTTCTATTGGGATTGTCTTAAAAACAGGGTCTACTCAAAACCCATTGCGACATTGGACGAGCTTCGTCGAAATATCACTCAGGCTGCTGATTACATTATTAGCAGAAGATATGCAAGACAAATAAAACGATCATTTTTAGGCTGTATTAATGCTGGTGGCAAACAGTTCGAACATTTGCTATAATGTTAATAACTTAATAAACTACACGTGAAACTGTTTGTACCATTTGTTTTGAAATATTAAACATTTTTCAAGAACTAATACTTTTAATACACCCGACCGTCATTTCTCCCCTGTTAAGAAATAATAGGCTCATATTTTTTTATAACTTGTTTTCCTAGAGTATTATACTATTTTGGAATGTTGGTTAGTTGCGTCAATTTTTAAAAAAAAAACTTGCCATACTAGTGTTCATACTTTTTTTTACACCACGATAAGTTAAAGTTGGTTAAAAGTAAAAGTCTTCAAAAATTTATAAAATAAAATAAGTTTCATTAATTTTCGTGATAAAATAAGAGTTATTCTGGATTTTTTTAAGAATTGTGGTAGATAGCAGTGCTATTCAGGTTGCCTATAAAAAAGTAACAAATATTTTAAAAAAATTGTGGTCATGGTAGTGAAAAATATCATAAACGGTCTAAATTTCTGAAGAATTTAATTTTTTTTATATAACTTAAAATATAATTGGTATATATTTTTTTTTCTTTTTTTTTCCTCGATTAGTCCAGGGAAGGTCTATCTTCCGGTGTTGGCTTATCGTTGAATTTTGGGACATGTATACACACCATAGCGTGCGTTACTACTATGGTATAGGTGGATGTGGCGATAAAGCCCCTGATGGTGAATCGCAGTCTAAACTTAACTAAAGCTTATTCACTCTTGTCTTGAAGTTTAGTGATAGTTTCACCTAAAGTGGGTTGGGATGTATTTTTAACACGGGCGCGTTTCATGAGCGTGAGAACGTCGAGTACGAATGAAATAAAAATACTTTTAGGAATGCATTGTTATTATTTGTATGGATTTTATAGTTGTTTTATGTAATGTTTAATTAAGGTGAAACCTTCACACTGCTCCCAGCCATTATCCCGCAAGATGGCGCTGAAGTCAACACTTTTAGTTTAATTGGGGTTATTGTGTAATTGGAAAATTATTAAGTCGTAGGAGTAGACTTTGCGGTTATCGGATATTACCTTTTATTGGAATGGGTCATATCATTGCCTCGAAATCCACCCAATTCGTCTGTCTGTCTGTCAATCTGTCATTGAATATAGTGTCGTTTACACACACAGACGTATCCCTACGTTTACGAAGCTTGAACACTAGATGGCGTGTATGTAAAAAAACAAGTTTTTAATTTTTCTGTATGTGTAGATTGGGTAGGCAGAACTACAAAACGCTATGTACGATTTTTATAAAAATAAAAGTTATATTTGCTGGCGTAAACTATTTAATTGATTTATAACTTTGGGAAATAAATGATGTCAACATTGATTACAATATAACGCAGTTTTATTTTATTACATTACACTATTGAATTTTTATCAAAACAGAAGTACCTATTTGAAGCAACATAATTATGCTGATACATGCCTATTCACTCAAAACTAATAACACTGATGATTTGTAACAGTACCAATTATTACAATAATTAGACATTTCATAACCAACACGTAGGAAACTATAATTCATAAAAAAGAGATAACAACAAATCTATAAAACGATTTATTTTGTGATAATAACCAGGAAGCTGAAAATAATATTTCCTAATTTCGAGGCACTCAACAAAAGCTTTTAGTAAAACGAAGATATAAATATACAATATATATATATATATATATATATATATATATACAAATCATCCTTCAATTCTATATGAATTGGGTTGCGTTCGGAACACAAGATCTAAAACACTAAAATGTACAAAAATTTACTTATCTTTTTATTTCAATGTTATCTTTATATTCCTGGTAGAATTGGCCGACGAATAAAAATACAACTCAGATTAAAATAAGCTATTTATTTATAAACAATAGACCACAGAACAGAAAAAAGGATTTTATGTAACTGAATTATATTTGTTTCTGAACGCACCATAACCGTGAACTTGAGCTCTACAAAATATAACAAACTAATAATGTGTGTCTGTCTAAAACTGTTTGCAAAATTCGTAAAAGGTGTAACCCGGCAAAACCATATTTAACAAATGTTTGCAAGTTTAATTTTGTGACTACTTTGGTAGTTTACCGATTTATAATAATTGTAATTATTGTTGACCAAAAACATATTCAAACACATTCATATACATATGAAACACTGACACGTATGACGTAGGTAATCAGTATTGTGACGATATTACAGAAAAATCACAGGCCAGCCTGCTGTTTCTAATACCACCGAAAACATAATTGCGTTTTTAGAATAATTAATTACTATACCTACGATAAATTACAATATAGTCTCAAATATATACTAGAGAAATATTGCAATTCGAATCAATGAAAACATGCACACAAAATATGTATAAGAAATTCCGCGCGCAAATCATAGCGCGTGACAACCGAAATCAGAATGTATTTCATACATACATAAACACTCACGCCTGTCACCCAGAGGGGTAGGCAGAGACTACAGACTTCCATTTGGCACGATCCTGACACACCTCTCTCGCCTCCTTCACATCCATACATCTACGCATGCATGCTCGTCGGTTAAGGGTACTCCTAATTTGGCCCGTTTTCAATAAATCGCCAATTTGGTAGATAAATTTTCGCCTAGGACGTCCCTTTCCGACTCTGCCATTCACTTCTGCAACATAAATTTTCTTTGTCACTCTTTCCTCATCCATTCTTTCCACATGACCAAACCACCGAAGCATTCCATATACAAACTCATCTACTTGCTCGATCAACTCCCCATCTATTCTTATTTCACATATCGTTTTACTTTCATCTCTTTCAAAAACCATAATTTTCGTCTTACTTGCGTTTACTTTCATACCCCTTTCTTTTAATGATCTGTTCATTAATGTAACCATCATTTGCAACTCAGCCGCCGACGACGCAAGAATAACTTGATCATCGGCGTACAAAAGGCATTTGATGGTTAACTCACCCATTCTTAATCCGCATTCTTCAACTTTCAAATTT